AAACAGCAAAATAATAAGGCTAAAAATATAAAGCACAGATATTCAGATTACTTAGTCCATCTATGTTAAAGAGCTAAAAAATTAAAATGTAATAGAAATTTTAAATGCTGCTTACATGTCATTGAAACAGAAGAAAATAAGCTGCAAATAATGATACAACTCCAATATATAGAATATATTGGCTATAGAACATACAGAATAATATGAAACAATCTACTATTCGCTATTTGAGGGATGTTTAAAATAAATGACTGTAGTACACTATATGCTAACCAGAGACCAAAAAACAATAAAAGAAAATGTAAGCCAAAATAAATACAGGCAAAATAATACTATTAAGAAATAACCTTATTTTAAAATATTGCTTCCTGATTTTAATGCTTATTTTAGATTTAAGGTTTAATAAAATTATATTCAGTTTCATAAATGCTTGTTTTCATTGGCCTTGAAAAAATTTAGAAAGAGAAAAATCAAATCTTAGGACTTTTTTTATACTATTGAAAAAACTGATAAATCTTTCCACAACATGGTCCGACTAAGTATAAAAACTACATTGTATCATCTACTTATTTTGTGGGAATTTTGAAAACTCTAAGTTGAAACTCAAAGTGGAAACACAGATATAAAATACATAAGAGAAAAGGAAAGTGTGCTTAAATTACAAGACCTTTAAGGTGCTCTTAGGCAGCACAGGTCTAGAACAATTCCTGCTCTCTTCAACCCTCTTCTTTGCCCTTTTGACTCCTACCAAAAGTGTCAACTGGGAATGCTGTCTATTGTGCTAGAAATGTGAGAAATATTGTTCAAGTCGTCCCTGGACAACTTTGGGATAAGACCCTACCACGTTATTTCCAAAACATTTCTTCCATTAAAGCATTTCTTATGAAAATGCAAACAGTATCTGGCAGGAGTAATACATTCCACTATTAAAACCGTGATGAGCATTTCATTATCAGCTTAGCTATCTATATTCCTAGTGGGACTTATATCCTTAGAGGATTTATTTGAGGGAATGGGAAGTTAAGATAGGCCTTGGCATGATTCATGTATTATTTAGGATTCTTTAGTAACAAGCAACAGAAACCAAACCTGGCTAATTTAAGTCAAAAGAAAACATAATGATATGAGCAGCTTACATGCCCTAAGGGATCGCTGAACAACAAGGTTGGAAAAAGTGGAACCAGACAACCCCAGAAGGTCTTCCCAATCCCATGTGACCACAGCTGATCAGATATAAACAACAGTTTCTTCTGTCTCTCATTACCTCACTCAAGTGTCAGCATCCCAGGAGAGCAATTGATTAGTCATATTTAAGTCACTTACCTTACTGTTGACACTACTGGGGAAGGTTAGAGGAAGTATTTGGCAGGAATAGCCAGCAAACTTCTCTGGTTTTGGTAGAAGCAAATCAAGCTCTTGGATTTCCATCATGTCAATACTGCACACAGCAAAAGATAGCTAATTTGGAAAGAGCAAATCAGAGTGCCATTAGGAAAGGGCAATGGAGTCTCGGCAGCCAAAAAAAAAAAAAAAAAAAATCAAATATCAAATGAGTACAACAGACAGTCTTTATGGAGGGTTCTCAAGTGAAGCAACCCTGTGTACTAAGAAATAACAGCTTCAAATGCATATTCATTCAATACATAGAACATACGTTATTAAAACAACTCATTAGCTACTGTTTGAGCAGTGGCAAAAATGACTGAAATTAGAATGTACTTAACCAGAAAGCAAAATCTGATAAAAACGGCATGCTAAATAAAGACAACAGCATTAAAAAGAAATTTAATGGATAGTCCAAAAAAATAAAATAAAATAATAGTGGATAAGAACACAAACTCTGGAGCTAGCCTGTTTCTGTGACCATAAAGGAGCTACTAAATCTCAAATAATTCATGTAACTTTGCCTGCCATAAACTGTTTTGATCCCACAGACAAGCCAAAATTCTGGTGGCGTATGTAACATTTACAAATTGCCACATAAACTTGGGGTGCACATGAGATCACTTCTTTATTTTTCCAGTGAATTGCTTAAGCCCACACCTGCCTTTTTAGGAGTAAGTTCAGCATCTCTCTTTGGGCTTCCTATTTCCCCTGATTTCTCCAAGATCCCTGGCTTTACCCACAAACTCAAAAACTCTGATTACATCCTTTTCCTCCTGACAAGAAGTCTTCTCAAAAATTATCCTAAGGAATGATATGCTCAGGTCTCGGTGATTCACCGGTGTAAGGGAAACTCCCCAGCTGATTGTAAGATAATCACTTTCAACTTCTCTACTGAGTCCACATCTTCTTTGAAATCAGGTTTAAGCACAATTTGCTTACTTTATACTTGCTAAGAAATCCTCATCTGTGGGCTCCCCTGGTGGCACAGTGGTAGAGAGTCCGCCTGCCGATGCAGGGGACACGGGTTCGTGCCCCCAGTCCGGGAAGATCCCACATGCCGCGGAGCGGCCGGCCCGTGAGTCATGGCTGCTCGGCCTGCGCGTCTGGAGCCTGTGCCCCGCAATGGGAGAGGCCACAACAGTGCGAGGCCTGCGTGCCGCAAAAAAAAAAAAAAAAGAAAGAAAGAAATCCTCATCTGTGAGTACCCATGCTAAGTAAATTATATGAATTCCCATTAGCTTCTCAATGCATGCAGAATAGAATCCATGGCCTGTAGGGCCCTGTGGGATCTGGCTCATATCGTCCTGAATCTTACCTCATACCCGTAACCCATTGCCCCAATAACACCAGCCTTTTTCCCCCTTGAATATGCCAAGCTCACATCCTGCTCATTGCCTTGGACTTGGCGCTCCATTTGATGGCTTTCCCATGACCCTTCAAATGTCTGATCTAACTCTTCACTTCTTAATTTCAGTATCACCACCTCAGAGAGTCTTTCCTTAAATTCCCTATCTTCATTCTCTAATTGCATCACTTGATTCATTTCTTCTGTAACACTATTAAAATATACTTTTTTTGCTTCTTTATTGTTTGCCAGCTCCCACTAAGGGTCCTTCTCTTATTCATTGCTCTTTCCAGCTCCTAGAAAAGTTCCTGAAACATAGTAGGCACTCAATAAATATTTTTAAATGAAATGAGCTAATCTATACAAAGCATAACTTTTTAATATCTGTTTCTTTATATCTGTGCTTTGAGAATCAAATAAGAAAAGAGCTTAGGAGAGCTCTCTGATACAGTACTATTACAAATATATAATTATAGTTGTACGTAAAATATTAGAAGTAGAGAATTAATAAGTTCTTAAGCAGTTACCAACCAGGCTGTAAGCTCCTCAAGGGCAGGAATTATATTATTATATAATTAAATATAATTATTTAATTATAAATAAAAAATACACCTATTATCACTGTGTATTCCATGCTTGGCATAGTGTCTGCCATGTAAATAAATATTTGTTGAATGAATAGATGAATCCATGAGTGAGCACAGCATCTACTTCCAGAAAGACTTGCATCTAGAAGGAATAAATTTAGCTGTAGTCCTTCAAAAGAAATTATACTGATATTATTGTTATGTTCATTTATTCATTCATAAGAATTGTTAAGTACCTACTATGTGCCAGACACTGTGCAAGATGTGGAGGATACAGTAATAAAACAAGTAAACCAACCAATCAACAAAAAGTAATGTTCCTGCCTTCATGGATCTCATTGCATGGTGAGAGAGACATTAAGCAAGTAATCACAGAAATAAATTTATAAAGTTTCAACTGAGATAAATGCTAGGAAGGGATTTGAATTACTTTGGAAATTATTAGCGATAACTATTTAAAAAGATGTTATAAAGTTTCTCAGACAGAACATATATTTTGGTTAGTAAAGAAAAATAACTTTTTGAAGAGAGAACTAGATACAAGAATATATGAAATAAATTAATATTTTTGGCTCATCCACATAGGTTTACTAAATTAAATTAACTACAGAACGATTCACATGTTCAAATATTTGTTTCAGGGGAAATTTCCTCTTACTCTCCTCATCCTTAAGTTTGTCAGATGCCTTTAAAGTCATCTGTATCTGAAATGTCTCTTCGAGCTGTCAAAATGAATATTTCCTCCTCTTGATGTGTTTTGGCTTAAATTCCTCCTAATTTGATATTAAGACCATGACTTCCACTCTCTGTTTGCATTTGCCTTTATTCACAGCCTTATATTCAACCATTAGATATATTTGTTTTAGATGAACTTGTTGCATATAGCATAAAGGCATAAAAAGTGATTTCTTTCTGGAAAAAAAACACCTTTCTGGAATTAAGCCAGTATAAATGTATTGATATGACATATTTCGGTTCTCATTTCTATCCCAGATTATTTTCTAATTGAAAGTTTGTGTCCAAAGCCAAGATGGAGTTAGACATGCAAGAGATCACTAAGAATAATGCCTGTGAAACTAAAGGCGAGACGAAGCAGAAGGAGGATGGAAAAGCATTTGGACCCTGGTATGGGTGGGAAACTTGAGAAAAGAGAGGAGAAAGCAAGGACAGCTGGGTAGCAAGAGCCTCAGACTAGTGCAGCTCTGAAAACATTATGGCCAGTCTGGAGCAAGAGCTCTAGAGCAAAGACTGCCCATTGAGGGGTCTCTCCTTGGGCAGAACGTCCAGGCTCTGCTACCCATGTCATAACAAGCCACTGGCTGGAGTTGCAGAGAGAACATGTCAGCTCCAGGGCTGCAGCACATTCTGAAGACGCTACAGCTGGAGGTTATAGGCTAACAGCACGCCATATGGCAGGGTCATTTTTTTTTTTTTTTTTGGCGGTACGCGGGCCTCTCACTGTTGTGGCCTCTCCCGTTGCGGAGCACAGGCTCCAGACGCACAGGCTCAGCGGTCATGGCTCACAGGCCCAGCCGCTCGGCTTGTGGGATCTTCCCGGACCAGGGCACGATCCTGTGTCCCCTGCATCGGCAGGCGGACTCTGAACCACTGAGCCACCAGGGAAGCCCCGCAGGGTCATTTTTGAAGGAATATCTGAGTGAAAGAGTTCCATGGCTACCACAGACGCGTTATAATATTTTACTCAAGTATAATCTACCTACAGTGAAATATACAGATCTTAAGTGTACACAGTCTAACAAGTTTTAACAAATTTATAAATCCATTTACCCCATCCCAAACAAGACGTAGAATATTTCCTTCACACAAAAATTTCCCGTCCAGCCCTTAGATCCAACTCCCCTTGCTTCCACCCCCACCGTACACACATACACACTGAAGCAACAACTGTTCTGATTTTTATTACAATTTATTTTGCCTTTTTTGAATTTCATATAAATGGAATCACAGCACATGTCCTCTTTTTGTTCCTGGCTTCCCTCATGCAATACAATATTTTTGATATTCATCACGCCGTTGCATGTATCTTAAATTTTTTCTTTTATTGCCTGAATACACCACCATCTCTTCATCCATTTTCCTTTTATAGACGTTTGGGTGGTTTCCAGTTGCTGAAATAAATAAATAAAGTCACTGTGAACATTTTTGTACAACATTTTGTACATTTTTTGTGGATGTATTTTTCATTAACCTTTGATAAATAAATACTTAGGAATAGGATTGCTGAGTCATATGGTAGGGTATGTTTAAATATATGAAAAACTGCTAAATAGTTTTCCAAGTCATTTGTACCATTTTTCACACAAACAGTTGGCTGTGTTTTGTTATTTAATTAAATATACATACCGATTTGGGGTGAACTGACATCTTAACAATATTGAGTCTTCCAGTCAATGAACAGCATATCTGTCTCAATTTTCTTAGGCTTTTTTTTTTTCCTTCTCCCAGAAATGTTTTAGTGTCAATGGTATAGAGGACATGTAAGCTTTTGTTAAGTATGTTCCTAAATATTTCATGTTTTATGCTATTGTAAATAGTATTGTTTTTAAAATACCATTGTTCAATTATTCATCCCTATTATATAGAAATAAAGTTGACTTTTGTACATTGACTGTGCAGTTTGTGAACTGGCTAAAATCATTTATTAGTTCCAGCTGTTTGTTTTGTTCTTCTTGTAGATTCCTTTGTATTTTCTATGTATAAAATCACATTGCCTTCCAAAGATAAAAATTTAATTTTTCCTTTCCAAACTTTATGCATTTAATTTCTTTTCCTTGCTTTACCCTAGTGGCTAGAACCTCTAACAGAATTGATGAGTGCAGACATCATTGCCTGTTTTCTGATCTTAAGAGAAACTGTTCTGTATTTCACTATTAAGTTTACTCTTCATTATGGATCACATTTTCTTGCTTCATTGAATGTTTTATTGTTTTAAATTTCATTGCCAACATTAAGCATAAAGGATCAGTATTATTTTAATTATTTCCCAAACAGTCCAAGTGTCTTCCTAATTTGGCTGTTGGAAAGGAAAGCTGTTTATTCTGATTCTCTCTAGGAGTTGAGTTGCTTTGCAGCTGGCCCAGTTTTAGTTAGGGTGTGTTTACCTACCCTCAGATATGGAAGCTAACATGGTTCTCTGCTAACTATGAAGAACTCATCTCACCCCAGTACTCAGTCCATCATGCCTTCCTTGCATCCAAGACTATTTTATAATTCCATAGAAAAGTATAATTTTTATTTTGTCCCAGATTTTCTTGTTTCCACAAACACAAAGGTCTTTTATATCCTTTTACATCCTAACCATTAATATTTTGTGATTTCGTGTGTGTGTGTGTGTGTGTGTTTAAATCTTCAAATATTTAGGAGAGTTCAATTTTGTTCTCCTTACCTTTTTCGTCCCTTGTATTCTTCTCATTGTCTACTGCTTTTTGTGCTTGCTTCAATTTCATCTTCATTTCTCTGATGGTTCTGCCTTCTGCACCTTTCTTGAAATCTGCTGTCTCAGGTTTCCTCTCCTCCCTCCTTTATCTTGTGTTATATTTCCTACGTTTTCTTTCTTCTTCCATTTCTTTGTCTTCTTTCACAGAAGTGATTTCTTTACCAAAAAATAAAATAAAAGCGTGTCACAATTTTTATCTTCATGGTCACCTTTTTTGCAGGCTGTTGGTAAATTTTGCTGCTCTTTTCCACAACTTTATCTTTTTTCCCCACATGTTTATCTTTGTGTTGAGAGTGTGCCAGTTTCCTTTGCTACTCATTGTTGAATGACTTGAATTTTCCTGGGCCAGCTATTTGCAGGAGGTTCTTGGTTAGGCGGGAGAGGCCAGGATAATCTTCCATGATTTATAACTCAAAGATGCTCTCTTCTGTTTCCTACAAATACAACATTATTATTTGAGATGCTTCGTTTGGCCTCAAACCACGTTTGGCAGTGTTTTTGCCACCAGCCTTACCTACCAAAATTTTCTCTTTAGGGTAGACCTGTCATATTTAGGAAAAGCCTTTCTTGCTGCTTCTGAGATCTGCTGTTACTGAACCCTCTTGCCACTTTTTTCCCCACGTCCTACCATGCAACCTTTTTCAGGTCTCAGCTGCTCTTGGCAGTTCTTACATGCACTTAAAATTTGCTTATCATATTGTTTGCTGGTTTAAAAAAAAATGCTGTTTTCCTTATTGCTCTTATATGATTTCCGTTCAGGAAAAGGGGTAAAAGCCCACTTGCACAACCACATTCATATCACAAGTCACCTGAAGGTGTTTAGACCAGAGACGTAAGTTTAAGACTTATAAGACTTATTGTCTCTTGGATGACCTTAAACTCAATTATAAAAACAGTAACCAAGGATTTAAACGTTAAGTTCTCTAATTTGTCTTATTAAACACATGTGGAATATTTCCTAATAGCTCCTATTAGGAGAAATTCTATTCCACTGCAATTACTAGAGCAATTAAGCTGATTGCCAAAATACTTTACTTGATTTGTCACCTAGAAAGTGACTGTATGATAAAAATAAGCATTCTAACACTCCAGAAATAGGCAGAGAAAATTCTAAGGTAGCCCCCCAGTTTTCCTTGGAGCATTAAAACATGGAGAAGAATACCTAGCAGAGTTAGATGAGCAAGGAGGGGGTTATAAGTACATGGATATATTTCACTGTGAAATTAGAGTAGGCATTGAAGTTGAAGGCTGGCTCCTAGTGAGTTTTCTTCTGGGAACACTAGAAACCATCAGTACAAAGGTCACAGAAGTATTTTATGAAGCCAACTACTTATGACTTTTTGTGGCTATGGAACTGATCAAGTCAGTTGTCAAATGCAGACTGAGAGCATGGGGGCATGAACAAAAAAGAAAGAAAAGTAAAGGAGAAACACACAAGGAAATAAATATGAGTAGTCATATTTATTATGCATGTATTTTCTAATATTTTTTTGTTTTTAATATAGTCTTAAAAATGCAGAATGCAGAATGATCATACTCTCCTCTACTCTATCTGGCTCTATATAATGTAGTGTTCTCCAGCCTCTTCCCTCACATGCAGAAAATGATATTTGTATCACACTAATATAGGCTGGAAAGAATTCAGGGGTATGAGTTAGTGAAAAACAATATTGCTTTTATATAATTATGATAAGAAAAATAAAACAGACCTACTATGGAAGATATTAAATACCGAATATATATGAAGTTTCAAAATAAAGTATTTTCAAAATTTTAATAAGAAATTTGAGCTTGCTTCTCTGACCATAATGTTTTAATCATGGATTTTGTGTGTGAAATAGCAACATCTGCACACCTCCTGGTCAAAACTTATCATTAAGAGAATAAGTGTTTGTGACAATGCCTAGAAAATAGTAAATACTATATATACATAACTGCATAAAATTTTGTGGGAAAAATTTTAAATCTTTTTTTTACAATCATTCAAAGTTTACAACACTTGAAATTATGTTTGAAGAAGCTAACTCTTCCTATTCTTCTTGAAATATTCAATGTTAAAATTTTTCATGACAATGGAAATGACTCTTGTATTGAATCAAATGTCTGTTATCCAGTATATCAAACTAATCACAAAACTCTAACCTGTAGGGAACACATTGTTAGAGCAATCATCCTGCACCAAGTTTGGATGTTATAACCGTTTTCATTCTTTTAGTATTATAGATATTATACCACACCGTTCCAGTTTATCAAAGATTAAAATTAATCAATGTTTATCCTTTTTTACAGCTAATACCACCTTAGATCATTAACCCCTTTTAGTTCCCTCCCAGGTGCTATGTTTTAATTTATCATCCTTATTTAACCCACAAGATATTGCGGATATTATCATTTTATCAAGGCAATGTTTGTTTATATTTAGCCACATATTTACCACTTTTCCTGTTCATCATTCATTCCTCCACCTTAGGCTTTTGATTTGAGATCCTCTACCTTCTGCCTGAAGCTTGTTTTTGTTCTAATTTCCTCTGGTGAGAGTCAGTACTTAGTTGTAAACTTTCTCAATTATTTCATTATATTCCATTGTTGCTCTGGAGAGTAAGCTATCACACACCCTGAGAATAATCTTTACCCAGCTGCTTTTAAGATTTTTCTTTTTATTACTGATGTGCTGCATATTCACTATGATGTATCTCAATCTGGCTTTATTATTTACACTACTGGGGATTCATTGGACTGCTGAAATCTGTATTTTAGTGTCTTATTAGTTCCAGATAACTCTCAGCCACTATCTGTTCAACTATTGCCTTTACCTTATTCTTTCTCCTTTCCTTCAGATTCTAATTAAATGTATTTTGAATTTTCTCACTCTATCCTCCATGTCTCATCTCTGTAATTTTTTAAAATCTCATTGCTCCTTTCTGGATTTTTTTGGGCCCAACTTACTAATTTGCTTTCAATTTTGTGTAATGTTATTAAACTCATGAGTTTTAAGTTTTGATTACTACATTTTCACTTCTAGAAAGTCTGTTGGTTCTTTTTCAAATATACTAGATTGTGTTGTAGCTTCTTGTTCCCTGCAGATTTTCAAGGTCATCTCTTACTTCTTTAAAAATAGTTAACATGAAGTCCATGTCTATTATTCTGAAGTCCTGCAGGTCTCTTTATATTGTCTTTTGTTTTTGCTGACACTTATTCATGATGCCTTGCTTTTTTTTTTTTCTGTGCTGCTTACTGTCTTTGAACATGTATGGGAAACCTGGGATGAATGCAACTTCCTCAAGAGAACATTGGTGTTGGCTCTGTGACATGACCGGAGTCACTACCACTTAATTTCAAACCAAGTTCATGGCTTAAGAGTCTCTGGATTCTGTAAGAAAAAGCATCTGAGTTTCAGCTCTGGCTCCGTGTTTCACCCTTCTCAAGGTTCTTAATTGTACTCTATCTCTGTGTCCTCATCTATAAAATAAAAGTAATGGTACTTATCCCATAGGTAGGTGCTTATTGGTAAGATGTAAAATGCTAAGCACATAGTGCCCAATGATTAACAGCCATTATCATTTTGTCACTTAGTGAGTCTTCCCCCAGGTTGCCTTAATGTCATAAAGTACTAGAAATATACAGGTAAATTCAGAGATGGGCAGAAATTAAATAATCACTAGTTAAGCAAAGTGAACTGAGGCATTTTGCATTAGGAATCAGCAGAACAAAGTAGTTATCACCATGGGCCCTGAAAACAAAAAGAGCTAGGGTAAACTCTCTTTGCAACCTAGGGTAAGCGCTACTTAACCTCTTCAAGCCCTAGAATCTTCATTTGTAACATGAGAATGGTTATATTCCCTGACAGCTTGTTCTGAGTTGTTAAGTGAAATTCTACAATGCATTTAATATTTCAATCAAAAGTAGGCATTTTTCAGGTAGTGATGACAAAGATGAAACCATTAAAATTATTTTGGCAATTCATGTAAAAGTGGAAAGGCATTATAATGAGTTCCAATTCTAATACTCTAAACTTTCTGTGAGGGTAAAAGGCTATTTTAGAACTTTCCTGAGATACATATATTTACCAAGTAACTTTACTATGGTGTGTTTGTGGTATTCATTCAGCATTTTTAAGCCTACTACATGTCAGGCACTGATGGGTACCTGAGGTATAAAGAAGAATGCCCTTAAATAGTTAGTAGTAGATGAGCCAGATATTCAATCAAATAAGTATAACATGATATGAACAGTATGAGTGTTATGAGAACACAGATTTCACAGACAAGACATTTATTTAACCTAAACAGAGAGGACTTTCTGCCATGGAGAATGGGAGGTTGAGGTACAAAACATGGGAAAACTTGCTATATTTGGCAAGGAGCAAACAGAACTTAACCAAAAGGTATGTATTAGAGAGTAAGAGGCAGATGACATTTGGAAGATAATCTGAAACCATGCTGTACATGTCTACATGTGCTGTGTTTAGGAATCTGGACTTTCATTCCATAGGTACTGGGAAGCCCCTGAAATGTTATATGGTCTCAACACAATGACAGGATCAGATTTCTACTTTTTTTTTGGTGGGGGGGAAGCGGTAACTGACATGAGTATATATACAAAGATAGACCAGTTAGAGTGAAGAATGGGGGCGGTCAGTTAGAAAATTATCACAACAATCAAAACGAGAGAGAATATGTACATTAAAAACACAACCATCAAATGCTTCACTTTGAAATTAAAGTTTTCTCTTTCAATGCCTTGGAAGAATGTTCTTTGAATTCAGAATAACTGCTTCCTGGTTCTTCTATTGGTTCCTAAATGTGAAAAGTGCATTGCTATTATTTATATACCATAAAATCTATTAGATTTCCCTTAAGATATTTTATGGAAAAATTAGTTTCCTTTTGAAAATCATACGCAAAAAAAAAAAAAAAAACACCACATTTTAGTATAACCTAAAGAAACTATAAAGGTTATTTATAGAAAGAGTCTTCATCTTCCCTTTCCAGAAAAGAACACTAGTCCTTTATGACCAGGGGTGGGGATGGGAACAGTAATCAGCTAAGATTAACACCCTATTGTAGTGAAAGCTTCAGAATCCTGACATAACCAGTCTAAGAAAATGCCAGTAAGGCTTATCAGAAAAGGGTGACTTGGAATCAAAGCATAAAGAACTAAGTCCCTAACCCTCTCCACTCTCCACCCATCTTGCTGCTCAAACACCCTCATATAAGGAGTGAGTGACCAGCTCTTTGTTCTCCTCCCTTTAAAAACAACCAAATAGCTCTTGTTTCAACTCCATGATTAAATTTCCTCTTTGTAACAGAAAATATTGGTAATTGAGTTGGGTATTTAGGAAGGAAACTGATATAGAAAAGACAATTTAATGTTTCTTATATTTTGCCACATTTTCCAATGTCTAAATATAAATAATTTCATGGGTATTGTGACTTCTCTCCATGAGTAAAATTTTCCTTTAATAAGACAGGCCTGTGTACACAGGCAGAGTAAATTAGCTCCTGCCTCCCAGTTGCTGAGAAAACGAATTGCTTAAGAAGATTAGAGTCATTTTCTTTACTTAAAGGTATTCCTGACAACCCACACTGAAATTACACAAGATTAACTCTGCTAACACCATTTCCCATTCTTTAAACTATAGCTTTCGAGAAAGAAGCATTTAGACTGAATACTTCAAAGCATATTTTAAGAGGAGATCTCAAAATGCGTGGAGATGCTAATATAGGTATCATTTAAAGATTCAGAATGAGGTGCTGAGAGGTCAAGAAACCTATTATTCGTCATACAGTGAGCCGTAAGTGAAATGCAAAGACGCTGCTTGTTTTTCCCTTCGCCATCTAGTGGTCTGTATACTCTTTTTCCAGACGGCATTTCAAATAAAATGATATCTTCAAGGACATAACACTGTTAATCCCTCAAAGTCAGGGGTATTATCTGTTTGTCTTTCCCCATAGCATCTTACAGAGTGCCTTTAACTTAGGGGCACTCAAATGTCTGTGGATTATTATGTCATATATTTGGCATTGCTTTGTGGCTTATCAGAAATATGTAAAGCAGAAGGGCTTAGAAAAAAAAAGATTAAAACAGTACCATGAGACATCAAGCTGTTTGTAAGAATCTTTCTGAATCTGAAAGCAAAATCCATAGCACAGGTACTAAACCTTACTTATATTAACCGCCATTAGTACTGTTAAAATGTACAATGCAGAAATTTCTCTCTCTGGCAATATGTTGGCACGACCCACCAGAACCATTCTGAAAAAAATGCAATCATAATCCATCAGTTCCCTTACCTTACCCTCTCTGAAGCTTCAGTATTCTTTAATTAATTGCAAAATTAATATACAAATGTATTCTTATTTAAATACCCAAACATTTCAGAAGTAAATAAAGAAAAAAATGAAAAGTCCTATTTCTCTTACTCCCTATGTCTCCCTCCAACCTCTTCTCCTATCCTGATATTAACACAAGAAAATTCTGCACTGTTATATGCAGCTTCATTTCTTCTTGGTCTCTTAAGGGTAGTTCCCAGGTGGAAAATATTGAGGCACACTGACCTAGATAGTTCTTAAAGATCTAAATTTGAATGAACTGCTGAATTCCCAGATTTAGAAATACGTAGTTCTTTCCACTTACAAAAAAATAAATAAAAGTGTGCTGAACTGTAATTACTTTATGCTAAGATAAGAGTCAGATCAGATCTCAAGGGAAATTCATTAACCATTCAACTGTAAAACTTTCATCAGAGAGCACAGTAAAGTAATATTAACTATAATAACACAAGCTGACACTTATCGAGAATTTACTAGGTGCTGGGCACTCTTCTTGGTGTTTCATAAGATTTTCTAAAAGAAAATCCCTATCAGTGAAATTTTAAGATATGGCATGTGATCATTAGTACTTGTGTTCACAGTATCTTGCATTTGTGTATTTTTCATTATTTTGTTTGATGCAGTACAGTCCTGGACTGAAAAATGATTACTAACATTACTTCACACCTGAGATCACAACAGAGAAATTCAGTGGGTTACTATAGGGACACCCTACTGCAGTGGTAGAGGCACTCTCTGAGTTCAGGCACTCTCACTATTTCCCAAACTTCAACCATTCATGTACTGCTGTCATAATTACTGTTATATCTATACTAGTAGTTCCTTATTACCTTTACACTGAGTTCCTCATTTTAAAATTTATTTTTGAAAGAAACATCACATAAGTTGAAAACCAAGATTATTTGCCATAAAAAAGGTAACTAGAAAAATAAACTCAATAAAACAAAGCAGTATTATGAAATTCTAGTTAGATATTGTTGCTTGCTGGTATTCCTGAGCCTCAGGCCTGCACAATCTCTGTTAAAAAGGTAAATCCAGCAAGTGACATATGTAAACGAATTTCAGCCAGCTTTCTCCTTGTCTTAAACAGAATGGTTGATTAAGAGATTAAAAGAGTATGGGGGGGGGAATAAACAATCCTCTCACTGTACTTTTTCAGTGATATTTAATATTGTACCAGGTATCATCTAAAGTAACCCTCTATAACCTATAATGATGTTGCCCATCATTGAGATACAAGTCCCAAAATGTCCTGGAAAATACCCCAAAATGCTTTGGAAATTTCCTAAACGATCTCCTTTGCTTTTATTTTGGTTTCAAAACTTCAAAAGGAATCTCGTTTCTCTCAAGACCTGCTCCAATATGCCTATTAATCGATATCAAGAAATAAGTTGGTAGAAATAATTAACCAAAAATTTTGTTTTCAGAAGGCAAATATTAGGTAGATGAAAGCAGTACTGCTCTAGGAAGCATAATCAAGTTCCCAAATAGCATCTTGTTTGACCTTGAATAGGTCAGTAAACCACTCAAATATTTTCTCATTTGCAAAAACAGGGAAAACACTACCCACCTACAGGGTGGGTACATGGATTACAATGAGAGGAGTGGCACAACACTCAGAAAAAATGTTACTTGGATCAAAGTTGCATATGACTTCAGTTTATTACAACTTACAAAAGTCCAAGTGTTTTTATCTTAATAAAAAGACCTCCATTTGTTTTACCTTAGTAATCCTGAGGCACTATTGCTCAGTTTCAAATGCAACGCTGAAAATTAAAGCTAATCCAAAGATTCTTCTTCTGAAAGCCTGAAATGCTCCAGAAAAACTGCAAAAACTTAGGTGACTGCTCATCATTTGGTCCAAAGTCTATTCAAGTCCTTACTGAAAAAAAAAAAATTAACGTGGCAAATATTATTAGTATATAAAATAATTTTTCACATGAACAGTATCTGAATACATTTTATGGTGACCTGAAATAACTTTAGTGATACCTTTCTTTACACAGGGCCAAAGTACTAAATAAATAAATTAGAAAGATACCTAAAATTATAGTGCCATCTACAGGCAAAGAAAATACTATCAATGATGGCACATTTTTAATGATTTCGTATTTTCTAATTGCTACCCGATGATTAAAAGAAAATTGGGATTTAATTATTTAGTAATTCACTTTCTGATTACATTTATAGGATATAATTTATCATATAAAATAAAGTTAAAACATCATTTCTAAATTTTTTTACTATTTAATATAGCATCATTTCATTTTCGATAAATATTAAGGCAATAAAAGTAATTTTTAAAATCCATGGTACCACAATCTGAAAGTTTTGTGTCTTGAATTTGTTTATTATTAAAATATATAAAGACAAAAGAGGAACTTTCTAGTATTAAAAAAATTCCAAACATTCTACGATCTTAACAGAATGGCATTTTCATTTTTTTCTGTTCCCTTCCTAACTTGCATCTGTGGACATTGATTTAACAATCACTAAATGCTAAGCACTTTTCTAAGCTGCTTTACATGTATTAACTCGGCAAATCATCACAATAATCCTAAGTGGTAGGTTTATTATCATCCCTGTTTTATAGATGTTGAAACTGAAACCCACAAAGCTTAAACAACTTGTCCAAGGCCACACTGCTCTAAGCGGCAGAGGCAAGCTTCAAACTAGGGGAGCCTGTCCCCAGTATCTAAGCTTTTAATCACTATGCTAAAGTGCCTCTCCTGTGTAAAAGCTGCATGCAGTGCACATACTGCATTTGTGTTTTATATATATGGTTATATATATATATATACATGGTTTTGTGGGGCAACATTTTCTCACATACCTAAAACCTTCATCATCAACTTTAATAACTAAATGTTTTGCCATCAAGTTGTTACATCTCATTTTCCTTTTAGTTAGCTAATGCTGGACTTCCAAACTGTTTCTAATTTCTTTCTATATATATAGGAATGCTGCACTAAGCAAATTTTGCATTGCATACCGTTCTTTTCCTTCTTTGGAATTTTATTTCCTTATGCTAATATACCCAAAATGGTTTGACTGACTTAAGTATATAAAAGTGCCACATTACTAATATATAATACTCTTGACAGCTTTTTAAGTCATTATGTAGCGCTACCAGCAATAAAAGAATGCTCAGATTTTCCCAATCAGTATATTCCTTTTCCCCCAAATGTACCTGATGTAAGTAGATAAGGATAGTCTGTGATGTGGATAATTAAACCAACAAATACCGAATTTTCGAAATGGGTAAAATGTTTTTCTTCCTCCAGCAACGCAAAAAGGTGGAGATAATTCTATTGTTTGCTGCTTATGAGACTGGTGCTATCTTGATTCCTTAAATGAGCCTCAAAGAGAATCAATAACACTCAGTCACTAGTACGCGTCAGAGCTGGAGTCTGAGCACAGATCAGCCTGACTCTAAAATTTCTGTTTTAGATGACAGAACAAAAACAACAAAAAAGTGGAGGGTCAATATATGTCAAGATAAAGAAACTGTAGGAAACATTTTATTTCAATCTTCACCAAAGATTATTTACCTCATAAAGGGGTAAACTACCCTGGGGTAGCTATCATAAATACAGGGATTATATTTTCCTAATGTACTGTTCTGATCAATAATTTCAAAAATAGGAGAGAATGGCAATAATTTACAAAATGCTTCATCTATCTTTCCAACCCTGTTTTCATTACAACCTAGTTTCATCTACATTCTAAGCAAGGAGCTTGAGGATATAAACATTACTCCAAAAATGTTTTTCTTTAATGTTATCTTCTTTAATGTCATCCTGCAGTATTATATGCTCCTGACAGTCCAGAAAGACTAACTTTTATAGCACAGACTAAAGGTCACCGAGATATTAGATAATAGAAAGAACAAAGGCTTTGGAGTCTTCAACTCAGATGCTGCCACTTACTAGCTATCCATCCTCTGGAATGTAAGTATCAAATTCCTACTTCATCAGGATGTTGTGTAATTAAAGGAGATAACAGTTATAATGCTCCTAGCACATGGTAGATGCCCAAGAAACTTTAGCTCCCTTTCCTTTAAAAAGTGGCACATACACGATTATATTAAGGGGATCCGTTTTAAAAGTCATGCTTCATTATTTCCCTCAGACAAACGGTAGCATAACACGAAGCGTCAAGATCAAAAGAGATCAAAAGAGATAAAGTTGCTTCATCGATGTGGGAACCTTCCTTCGTGACATCAATATCATGGTCTTCTATTAGTTGGTATGAGAGATTACAGGGATGTTTCAAAATCTTTCTATAGCATCCTGGAACATTCAGTTTCAGAGTAGGTATTTTAAATCTACATGTCTGTAGTCCATCTCTGCTGAGTACTTCCTGGTACCACTTCCCTAGTTTGTTCTTTGGGTACTGAATATTGTATCCAAGCACTGGAAGAACCACCTGTGCGATGAAAGGGAAAAAAAAAAAGATACGTGAAACAGCCTTCGGAAAAATATTTGATCATATTTTAAATTTACTTTTATGACTGGGACCTGGATCTGTAAAAACAGACTCAGGATATCAACATTACAATCAGCCTAAAACATGCTATTGAGTATTACACTACTTTGATTCTTTTTAACGCTGCCCAGAAGAGAGAAGAGCCAACTAAAATCAAGAAGGACTCTTAAAGGACTTCCCTGGTGGTCCAGTGGTTAAGAATCCGCCTTCCAATGTAAGAGACACAAGTTCGATCTCTGGTCGGGGAACTAAGATCCCACATGCCGCAGAGCAACTAAGCCCGCACCACAACAACCAAGCTTGCATGCCTCAACAAGAGAGCCCTCGTGTCACAAACTACAGAGCCCACGCACTCTGGAACCCTCATGCCACAACTAGAGAAGCCCACACACTGCGACAAAGACCCAGCGCAGCCAAAAATAAATAAATAAGTAATGATAATAACTAACTAAATAAATAAATATTGTGTTTGCGTGGTATATCTAAAAAAAAAAAAAAAGGACTCAATTGACAAGGCAACCAACTCAAGTCGGATATTATTAGACAAGCTGCTGTTAATGTAGAAGAGATGAAACAAGAAGTTGAGGTACACTTAATTAGCCAACAGACTTCATCTTTGTGCAGTTATACAATCCTAAAAGCATATTATTTCCGGAACACAAAGAATAACCTTTACTACTCAATCACGTAACTGGTATTTTGGCTGATAATTTTGCATTTCTCTTATTTAAAAACATGGGGCTTCTCTGGTGGCACAGTGGTTAAGAATCCACCTGCCAATGCAGGGGACATGGGTTCGAGCCCTGGTCCGGGAAGATCCCACATGCCATGGAGCAACTAAGCCCATGAGCCACAACTACTGAGCCTGCACTCTAGAGCCCGCGAACCACAACTACCGAGCCACGTGCCACAACTACTGAAGCCCACGCGCCTTGAGCCTGTGCTCTGCAACAAGAGAAGCCACTGCAATGAGAAGCCCATGCACCGCAACGAAGAGTTGACCCCACTCACCACAACTAGAGAAAAGCCGCGCACAGCAAGGAAGACCCAACGCAGCCAAAAGGTAGTCAGAAAAAGGAACAAGGTAAAAAACTCAAATACACACAACATGACTGAATTTCATATTCGTTATGCTCACTGAAAGAAGCCAGACACAAAGGCCATAAACTATATGATTCCATTTCTATGATACTCTTTCAAAGGCAAAACCACAGAACAGAAAAGAGCTGAGTCAGGGCTGGGGCAGGGGTGGGGGGTGACTACAAAGGGGCACAGGAAGTTTGGGGGAGACATGAAACTGTTATCTTGATTTTTGTGGTGGTCATATGACTTTATACGTATATTAAAACTTGCAGAACTGTAAACTGAGAAGAGTGAATTTTATTATATAAATTATAACTGAATTAAAAGTGGTAAAAAAAAAGGAGCAAGGAAGGGAACTGGTTAATATATATTGTCTTTTGGGCACAATGTGTACATTTAGATCTAAATGATACTAATTTTTAAGCACGTTTACCTGATGTATTGCATATGTATTAGCTGATTCCTCTTCTTCAGTTACTAGATGAACCTATTTTTTAAAAACATGATGAAAATACAGATGATTTTCAAATGTTCCAAATTCCCTCAATTTTCCCTAACTCTGTTATGTACAGTTTGACTCCTTAGCTGAATGTACACATACCCAAACAAGACCTTTTCACAATTTCTTTCCAGAGGAGTAGACTACTTAAAAATTAGAATGATTCTTCCTGCTTTAAGCCCTGATAACTCCATGGAAATACACAGAGAATGTTGGGCAGCTAACACTCTGAAGCAACACATTCACCTCAGTTACCAACGATCTTTTTCTAAACTGCAAAGTTGTTTTTTCTTACTATGCTGAATCAACAATCTGCCTCTGTGAGACCACCCAACCTCTGTCCCTAACAAATGTCATACTAATCTATGAGAAGTAGTGCTTCTCAAAATGCATTTCATAGCCTAGTAATAGGTGTCACACATACGAGGCAAAAAAAAAAGAGGTGAGTGATAAGCTATGTTTGAGAAATGTTGCTCTAGGACAGAGAATAATTCTGATTTCTCGGGCACATGAAAGCTCAAGTATAAAGGCAGCTGTCATCATTCCATGAGGATTACAACAGCCTCATTTTCCTAAAGCATTCATCATATAATATAATGTCTAGATCTTCTCTAAACCTGCTTGCTTTCCCAATTCTCCCTACTCTTATCAATAATGTCTCTCCTTTTTTGTTTTTCCATTTTGGGTTTATTTGTTTGTTTACATGTAAATAACCCATTTTAACTGCTGCACTCAGAAATGGACATAACACTCCAGATGTGATCTGACCAAATACATGGGGCTATGATCTCTCTTGCAACATTACTTCCAGCTTTTTGTCTTTCTAAGCATACCTACAATGCTGCAATTTAAGTAATTTATGAAAATACTGAACAAACATGGTCAAGTACAGAGTACCATGTTTTGTCTTTAGAGAACTCCCTCCAGGTTGATATCAATCAATAAATTAACGAACATGATTTTGCTGTATGGCTGCTCTGCAAAGATGAATTCACCATTCTCATTGTCTAACTCACATTTTTCCATCTTGTTCACAAAAAAACTATACGACAATCTGCCAAGTCACTTGAAATTAAGATATATAGGTAGTCCTAGTAATTCTATCAAAAAGGGACTCAGTTTCCTACAATTTTTAATGTAGATGCACAACATGACATGTTCTATATACCATTTATTAGAAATATTAGTTTGTCTTTTTCCTTTTCATATTTTATGTCTTTTTTTGGTTTTATTTTGGTTTTTTCCTTTAACTTCTTATTTTATATTGGAGTAGAGTTGATTAACAATGCTGTGTTAGTTTCAGGTGTACAGCAAAGTGATTCAGTTATACATATTTTACATCTTGAGACTCCAGTTCCTGCCTTTTCTTTTCTCAGTGCTAACTAATAAAGTATAAATGATTGATCTTAAAAATATAGACACTTTTTGCTGCTAATAAAAGGAAACTCTGCAAAATGTAAAGGAGAAAATATTCTCTTTTCTACTACATCTCCTGAAAGAAAAGCAGATTCAATCCTGATCACAAAACTATCCGTGCAAATGTTACATGGAACAAAGAAGTCGTATAAGACACATGCATTTCAGAGATTATTGTTATATTTTGTCAAAGTAACCTTTAACTTCTGAAAATCTGAATTAGAAATGGCTGACCTACTAAATAATGTGTTGCCTAGGTAATATTTAAACGGACATGTTTTCTGAAAGGTGTTAAAAAACTTGTGCTTTTTTCATTATTTCTCAAAATAGAATCAACTGACATATCTCTTCTTCCACTCATATGAGGTAAAATAAAACCTACGATGCTGCTAGATTTTTTCTTACACAGTTTCAGAGTCTGTGTCTCAGTTAAATGACCATTCTTAATGATTTATGCTCTTAGTGATCACTTTATCTAAATATTCATAAGCCATTCATTTAATAAAATAGTAAAGCAGACATCTTTGTTCTGGCTCACTCATCACTCAGCCTTTACTCTCTCTTTTCTGGTAGTGCACCTGCGTTTTCCTGGGAGCGTTCCTCCCAGTTCTTAAATGTGGTTTGGATGGGATGGTTCCAGGAAGGAGCCCTTGGAACATAGGTTTTGCCAATCACATACTCCAGTCCACAATAACTGGTCTGGGGACATGTGACCCAAGCCAAGCCATTCCTAGCCACTGAGGCTCAATTCCACGGCTTTGATTGAAACTGTTGGGAAAGAAACACCCTCTTTTCTGGAGAAGAAACTGAGAATGGATCTAACAGAGAGGAAAGCAGAGCTGCAAGATAAAGCAAATGAGACGGATGATTCAGGACACTGCTTAAGCCCCTTGATACAGCTGTGCCTGAATCAATCATGCGCTTTTAGTTATGAGGGCCAAGAAACTCCTGTCTGTTTTCCTTAAGTTAGTCTGAGGTGGGTTTCCATCACTTGAAACCAAAAAAATCCTTAATTCATACATCTAGAACTCTGCCATTAATTTAGAACAAGCTTCCTTTATGGAAAGTTCAGTCTATTTTTCTCCATTTTTGAAAAACTGGGCCATGCCCTATCTCTAGATGCTGACACCTTTTCTACACTCCACAATTTCTCTAGTAGAGACTAATCTGGGCTAGGAATCAGACAACAGATTAAGTGCTACCTATGTCACTTAATCTGTCTCCTCTCCAGCCTGGGTCTCAATTTCATTTCTATAAAATGGGAATTAGAAAAGAGGGTCTCTAAAATCTTTTTGTCCTCTAAAGGTCAATGATTTTATGATATTATATACAAAAGCACTACTCAAATCCCTTCATTAATTTTTAAAATATACTTGTGAGATTGAATTAAGATAATGATGGAGAATAGTCTGCTCTTTTGTATTACAATACTATAAAATAAATTTCCTTACGTGATTTACAGAATTAAATTTCATTATTTAGTTCAATCCCACAGAGATTAAAATACTATAAAAATACTAGTTGGATGGGGAGGATATGGAAGGATCAATTTTTACAATACGAAATTATATTTCATTAATATAAATGCCTCTAAGATACTGTTAAGAGGGAAAAAAGCAAGTTGTAAAATAGCACCTATATAAAAGAAATGCACATGACATTACATACCCTATATATTATTATAAATATCTTATTCTAAAGAATGTGTTCTTTAAAGGAAGGTTTAATATCTTTGTAACTTTCATTTCATACCACTATTTTTATTTTTCCATTCAATAGCATGTTAAGCGTCAGCTGACAGCAGAGTAGAAGCAGGAGATGAGCAAATATTAAGTTAAAAAAAAAAAGAAGAGCATGTTTAGTTTTAAATTGTTTCTAAAATAAGGGCTTCTGAAAATTAGTATTCCTGGTGTGGTAACTACTCTTGATGAAATGACACTTACTTTACTACTTGGTAAATGCTCATCATCAATATCTTCATCCAAACAGACCAAATCACCCTCCACCACTCTTGATCCATAGGTTGCAAGTCTGTAAGATACTGCCTCATTCCAGATTTTGCTGCTATATGCATGAACATAGAATATGCGCATGGAATGGGGGAAAGAGAACCACGCCTGGATACAGCCCTCCTCTGTCACGCCAAAGCGATGCAAGGACTCCAACAATGCTCTCTCCCGAACTTTGAATTCAGGCATCAGTGTAAGTGTGCCTTTAGCATCCTCTGAATAAAGTGAAGATCAGTTAGTCACTTTTATTTAAAGGCCACGCTCTCTAAATGAACTGAGCTATCCTGGGAACCTGAATATGAAGATGATGCTCAGCACCAACTATAAACCAGAGCTGCACTTGAAGAGGTGTTTTGTTTGTTTGTTTTTAATGAAGATCATTAATCATATGGCTCAATCACCTTCCCTGCTTTAAAAAGAGCACAACATTAGTAATTCCAATTTCAGGATGGAAATAAACTAATTTGCAGTTATTTAGAGGACTTTTTTTTTTTAAAGCATTACATAAGCCCCTGAGCTTAGAGATTTTTAAAGAGCTGTTATAGACGTTTTACACAGAATTTTTTGAATAAGAAAGGGTTGACATCTGGATCCTTCAAGTGTACTATTAGGTCTTGCTAGTAGGATGCTTTTTAAAACTAGGTTACTGGACTCCATGGCAAAGATGCTTATTCAGGGAGGGCCTTGGATTCAGCATTTTAATAAATGCACCAGGTTTCTTAAGCACACTAAAGTTTAAGAATCACTGCCAAAAGGAAATTATTTTCTCAGGACCCTACAATAGATGCAATTTTGAATTTTCCTTAGTATTACTTAGATTACTTATAACAATTTGAAATGCTCACACTATTTACAGATTCTGGTGTGGCATAAAAATATTTTTCTCCTATGAATCATTACATATAGGTAATATGTACATAATTTAAAACAATGAATGGAGATATTTGAAAACTGATGTCCTTTATTTCATTGTAAGTGAAATTCATATGCACGTATATGTCGATCATATATTTGAATGACTCTAAAATGCTACAGTTGCCATTATTGTTTAGATACAAGTAATATTTATTCAGTATTCAGAACGTGCCAGGCACTATATTAAAAGCATTATATCTATTATCTTATTTAAATCTCATGACAGTCTTTTAGGTACCATTATTAGCTTCAGTTTGCAGATGAAGAAACTAAAAGAATGAAACTAAATGACTGCACAAGACTGTACAGCTGGGAAGTACTAAAGTTGAGAGCTAAACCCACGCAGATTGACTCTAGAACCCACACTCGTAACAACTTTTTTTTAGTGCTTCTCATTAAGCATTCTACATATATTGGGCTAAAGTTTGCAAAATCAGCAATCAGGGCTAAATGGCAACTAGATCAAAAACAATGCACAAAGTATCAGATATAACAAATGTACTTTTATTTAGTTTATATTTTCAGTCTCCTCTGATTGTAGTGAATTATACTTCCATCAATACCTAAATCCTTCGAGGATTTAGGCCAAGAAAAACTCAGAAAGCATCTTTTCCCTCACCCCTACCCCCAAGCAAGTATTAGAACAGACAAAAATCCCAGAGATCTGGCCAAAAATGGAGTGCCTAGGGCACGTAATAAAAATGCTTAAATATACAATATATTACAGTCTATTTCTTATCATATTTATGTTGTAATGAATGCCCTCCTGCTGACATAACACTTATATTATGTATCTGCATGGTTATGTATGGGGTAAAGAAACTTTTTAAGTACCAGTTTGAAGAAAATATTTCTTTGCTCTATTTACAGGATCATCCAATTCTTCTGGTGTAAGAAATAACTGTACAGCCTTCACCTTTAAAAACCAAACAAGCAAACATGTGTTAAATGAAAATGAAAAATTACTTTTTTTTAAAAAGGTACAAACTGTCTGACATCTAACAAACGCCAGACATTTAACAAAGGAACAAGAATAAGCATTTAACATGATATTTTACGTGGCAATTTTGTCTTTAAGTGTTCAAAAGTTAAACAATGTTAAATTTAGAATTAACCTCCTGTACAAAGCAAACTGATACAGAGGTTTAAAATATTATGGACTGGAAAAGTGCTCCCCCACCACTTCCACAGTTCTTCTGTCATTCTTTGCCTCTATCATCGAACTATGAACAGAAGTATTAAGTGATGACATGAAACTCAGACTTAGCCAACAAAAATACACAACAAAAATAAGGGAAGGAACAAGCATAGGGGAACGGCAAGCCACTAATTTCATTTATGTTCTCAAGTCTCAGAATTCTGTGGTCTTAAAAATAATTGCCAAAGTCATTTTTAAAAATTGTCAACTTTTTTTTTTTTTTTTTTTTTTTTTTTTTTTTGTGGTACGCGGGCCTCTCACTGTTGTGGCCTTTCCCGTTGCGGAGCCCAGGCTCCAGATGCGCAGGCTCAGCGGCCATGGTCCACGGGCGCAGCCGCTCCGCGGCATGTGGGATCTTCCCAGACCGGGGCACGAACCTGTGTCCCCTGCATCGGCAGGCGGACTCTCAACCACTGCGCCACCAGGGAAGCCCCAAAATTGTCAACTTTAATGTTTTCTTTTAAAACCTAGATTAAAAGATGTTCCTTTAAAAAAAAAAAAAAAGGTATCTACTAGTTCCTATATTTTATCACTGTCTCCAGCACAACTTATTTCTAAGTATGTGCCTTAGGGTAGGAAAGGATCTTTTTTTTTTTTTGAGGTATGCGGGCCTCTCACTGTTGTGGCCTCTCCCGTTGCGGAGCACAGGTTCCGGGCGTGCAGGCTCAGCGGCCATGGCTCACAGGCCTAGCCGCTCCACAGCATGTGGGATCTTCCCGGACCGGGGCACGAACCCGTGTCCTCTGCATCGGCAGGCGGACTCTCAACCACTGCGCCACCAGGGAAGCCCGGAAAGGATCTTAAAATAGGTCAAGCAACCTAATCTCCCACTCATTCTTCTGTTAACATTATTCATTCATTCAAACAAATACTATTAAGCATCTGCCATGTGCTAGGCACTGTGGAGACACCAGGGATAGAGTGTTGAGCAAGAGACTTGTGGTCTCTGTTTACTGGAAAAGATTAAATAAGCAATAATTATAAAATGTAATCAAACCTGAGATGGGAAGTCTAGGAGGCTGTGCAGTCACAAGATAAGGGGAATTCACTAATTCTTGGGTAGTGGGATGAGAATTTAAACTGAGACATAAGGAATGTAAAGGTTGGGGAGGGCGTAATTCAAGCAAAAGGAAAAAACAAAATCTGCCTTTCCAGCTGTGGGAGCCAGCCTCTAAGACAGCCCCAATGGTCTCAAGCACTTGGTGCTTACGCCTGGGCAGTCCTCTCCCACACTCATCAGGGTTGGCCTGCATAACCGTGGAATACGGAAGTAGTGAAGGTCTGTCCCTCCCAAGGTTAGGCTATGAAAGACACTGAAGTTTCTTTTTTCTTTTTTTATTCAATGAATATTTATTGAGTATGAATGAATGAAGAAAGGAATAAATGCTCTATTTTTAAAGAGCTTTAATGAGGCTAAAAACTGTATCCTCTGAAAAGGAATTACTCCCCTTCATTTTACCAAACTACAACTTTTTTCTCATTTCATTTCTCTGAAGGAATATTCTGTTTCCTTTAGCAAAGAGAACGTGTCAAGAGATATATGACCGGGCTTCCCTGGTGGCGCAGTGGTTGAGAGTCCGCCTGCCGATGCAGGGGACACGGGTTCGTGCCCTGGTCCGGGAAGATCCCACATGCCGCGGAGTGGCTGGGCCCGTGAGCCATAGGCCGCTGAGCCTGCGCATCCAGAGCCTGTGCTCTGCAACGGCAGAGGCCACAACAGTGAGAGGCCCGCGTACCGCAAAAAAAAAAAAAA